ATGAGAAGCTAAATGTTTTAAAGGAAAAAAAAACCAAGTCTAGTTGCCTTTTGAACAGCACCTTTTGGACAACCATGACCTGGATGATTGAGAATCTCCATAGACATTAGGCTAAGTTATTTACAACAAGGAAGGTGACATTTAGGTGGAAGAGACAGGAGAGACTCCTTTGTCGTGGACAGATCATCCCAAAGTCAGAGTTTGTTTTTTTGTGGCAACTCCCCAGCAGAAGCAAAGAGATAATTTAAAGGGTATTTCCTTGGCAATTTCTAAGTGCATAGAATTTCAGAATTTGTTAGTGAGGAAGCTTGTGATTATATCTATCAGTTGAAACCTTGGTGGCTGGCTGAAACTATCCCAGACTATCATTCATTCACTTCTGTCTGCTTGTTGAGCTTTTGGTTTTTCTTGGTCTATTAAGAAATTGTAGGAAAAGCAGGCAAAGAAACGAGTTTCCCAGAATTATCTTACTAGAAAAGATGGGCGGCCAATAAATTTTATAATAAATCAATGACTAGTGATGAAAATCCAGAAGTGAATATGATCACTGAGCCAGTGAGGCTTTGGTGAACTTGAAGCGTTATATATTGGGGAACCTAACTGTTCCATTCCCTGTACATGAGCCTTGCAAGACTCCATTCTGTCTCCGAAGATCTTTAGTATCTATGTGAAACTGCTGGGAATGATCATTATGATATCGGACTGGATGCATCTAAATGTGGATAATACTCAGATGTTTCATTTTCTCTTGTTCATCAGGTGTTCAGGCTTGCCTGATGGGCTTCTGTTTGGATATAATCCAGTCAGGGTAGAAGTTTTGATGACTGGGGAGATTTAATACATATGATAATGTAGTTATGGTTGTTATGGAGTTATTTTCCCTTGAAGGAGCAGGTATGCAGTCTTGAGGTCTTCATTAACACTGTGCTGGCTTTGAGTTTGCAGATCAGTGTGGTAGCAACAGGTAGCAAAAGCAGCCTTTTTCCAGCTGTGAATGTTCTGTCAATAATACTTTGACCTATTAATGCTCATTCTCTTGTTACCTCTGGTTGTCAAGGCAGATTAGTGGTTTAAATTTATATTGCTTATTATAACAGATAAATTCTTGGATAGATAGGTAGATAAGTCCAGGGTTTGCGCCCTGCTTATTTGCAGGATCAGCTTTCCATAAGTTACAAACTTATACAGTAGCTCCAATAAATCTAACTTTTTTGCAAGTATTGGAATCAACTAGGACAAGGGGTTTTTTTTGGTGGTGGTATCTTCCCCTTATGGATGATCTCTCTTCCTAGAGATCCAGACTGCTCCATCCTTGGCTTTTTTAAAGAAGTAGTAACTAATTAGGATAAAATCCTTTTTATACTTAAGCTTTCATCTTCTAAGAGTTTTTATATTGGATATTTTATAGATTTTATAAGTTCTTTTGATATTGTCTGGTATTATATGATAGCTGGATTTTATTTATGATAACCATTGTTGTTGATATTATTGGAGTCTCCAGTTTATAAACAAACAAAACTCCATCACAAATAAAACAACTATGTTAATTATGTTATCTTAAAGTCAGCATTTTGTAGGAGTTGGGCCTATCTGAGAGAACATTTTTATGGGCAGCATATAGGAGACTATAAATGCAAATTATTTTCACTTTGAACAAATTTCAGCTAGAATGCACCTGTTCCACCTTAACATTTTATCTGCTCCCTGCTAAAGTCCCTGGTCAATCATGTTACATATCTGTGTATCTAATTTCATCAACCAGGTTAAACTGATAGTTTCCAGTGTGTCTGAGAGTGCCTTTCTGAATGTGTTTCTATATACAAGTCATCATATATCACAACCAGGGCTTTTTTTGTTATAGAACGCCCAGAACGGAGTTCCGGCACCTTTTTTGGATGGAACCTTGTAGGGTAGGCAAGGCAGGTTGTATGATGTGTGTGAGTTCCGGCACCTTTTTTTTCCCCACAAAAAAAGCACTGATCACAACACACTTATTAATATAAGTTCATAATAAATGGAAACATGATGTATTTACCCTATCTGTAAACAACTTCATGGCTTATGCAAATTACTTTTGTACACAGATTCCATTGCAAAGGCAAAAAAAACCTCCCACCCTTCAAATCTCAACTTATTTTTCAGATAAAGTTCAGGTGATATTTTGGATAGGAACTGAAGTTATATAGCAACTATTATTTGAGTCATGTGAACATTCAAGCACATATTTTTAAACTACAATTCACCACAAAGCTATGGGCTGAGTTTAAGATTGTCTTGCCTATACATGAGACTATGGACTTTGTATTTACCAGCAGAGAGTCAATAAACTAGCAGCTGCACAAATTTGAACTCTTATGTGTTTAAATGTTATAGCACACTATGTAAATAACTATATCCTAAACACACACTGAAAAATACATGGGCATGTTTATAGATTCATTGGATAAGTTTTGATAACAAGAAATATGTATACATTAATATTAAACTAAGTATTTTGCAGGTAAGAAATTATTAATTTATTTTGTTAATTTGTTCCCATTGATCTTTACAGGTAAAGAAAATAGCAGCTGAATATTATGACACCCTACCTCAGCATCAGTCATGGGTTCATGTTCTCTGGGACTTTGTTTTTGATGATAACATCGGTCCTTATTCAAGGGTTAAAAGAAAGTGCAAATTGGTTTCTGAATCTTTCTAGATACCAACTCCAGCTTTTCCTCTCTGGACTTCTGCACCTTGAAAATCTTTCCTTTGCAAACATGAATTATGCATCGTATGAAGTATCTTAGGTAGATGTAGCTGATGTATGTTTCTGAATCCAAAGGTTTGTCTTAAATCCAAATATGAAGAAATATTCAAATGAGGCTAATGAAAAACCTTTACTACTGTGCAATACAAAACTCAGGGGCGGTCAGAGCAAGCACAACTCTGAATTTACAGATTTGGAAAGTAGAGAAAAGTGTCTAGCTCTGTATATTTTCTATAGTTAAAGTATATGGCTAGGAAGTCTGCTATTATATAGAATAGACCTCTCTCCATCTCTGTAGATAGGGAATTTTCCAAGTAGGGGAAGATGGAAGATCTCTGTGTAATTAACTTTTAAGTAATATGCAAATATATAGGAATTCCTCATCTCATACTGTTGTGATGGGCAATGGTTCTGAGAGCTATAAAGACTGGCTCAGGAATTCTGGGAGTTGAAGTCCACAAGTCATAAAAGGGCCATTGTTCTCTATCCTTGATCTAGACAGAGAGGTTTGCCAATCCATATTAGTTGCAATAATTAACTCAGACCTCCACACTGCTATAAGCAGTTACAAAGTACCCAGCAGTGTATATTTAAAGTCATTGAATAGGTGGCATCTCTGTTTATGACTTTAAGTTATTTAAAGAGAAAGCCCATATGTACCTACTTAGAAGTAATCTCAATAGAAATTAATACAATCAAGGTAAATAGGTTTAGGATTACAGCCTAAAATGGATTGAGACAAGTATATTCTTAATACAGTTATGTGCAATTTGGAGATAAAACAGCCTGATAGCAATGAATATAGTCTGCGTGCTTCAGTGCTTGGTATTCCTAATTACATAAAGGCCAGTAGTTAATATTGGAAAGACCTCTGAGAAAATGTTCCAAGCAGGGTGAATGATATTGGTTTGGATGGAAAAATAGCAGACTAATTTATAAGGCAAATTATTTTTATCTACCCGATTCTCCTTTTTTCCTTTCTTTTTAGGCTACTACAAACGTTATTAGTTTCCAGAGGTGTTAAGCGTGTTATTCTATTGCAGCAAAAAATCAACAAAATCTGTGTACCTTAAAGATGAATGTATTTATTATCACATAAGCTTTCATGGACTACAGTCTGCTTCCTCAGATGCATGGTTCATTATTCTGAAATTTATATTATATACTCTTGATATGACAACTCACCCCCCCCCAAACAAACAAACAAAAAATACAACCCCAGCAGTCACATAGCTCCTGAAGTGTGAAATTGGAGGTGCTTCCACATTTAAAAAACCCAGAGTTTTCAAAGGAAACAAAAACTTTATAAAAAAACCTAGCCAGTGCCCCATTTATTCTTATCAAGTACCCCCATCCTCACCCCCATGTTGTACGTTATTAAACAACATGAGATGCACAGTATTATTACTTCTTTCTAATCAGCAATGGATATTTTATAGTCCAGGACAGGTAAAGAAATCATATGTTCAGGACACAAATGTTAGGCTTGGTCACTGACTTTCCCATAAATTGAAAGTCCAAGGAAACTTTTGAGGGTCCTGCTCAGGAGAAACTTCTATATAATTTCAAGAGAAAACAGTTTCAATGATACTAGCAAAATTTTTCATGTGGGTTCCACATATCTCTAGTGGTTTGCTCAAGCCAACATACATTTCAAGCCTAAGCAAAGTAAAATAGTTTGCTATTAGTTTATCACACAGTATTTATGACAAAATATTGGATGATGTGTTATGGGGAGATCTATTCAGTGCAAATTTTGGGAGAAGAATACTAGTAATTCTGAATATAACCACTATATACAGAAGACATGCTTAAAAATGATGAAAGACAATTTGTCTTTGGAGTTGTTCTATTCTCCAGTCTAGGTCCAGTGATCTGAAGCCATCAATTTTGAAAATTGATATATTTCATACAATAGCCAAGAGATGTAAACATGAAAACGTGAATTTTCTATTTCTCTAACCGTATTTCTGGTAGCACCACCAGAGGTCCGATGAAGACCTGGTTTACACAATATGGAAACCATAATAAAATTTCCTTAATTTGGTATAACATTTTGTGTGAATTTGGAAAACTCAATAAACCATGGCTTCATTCAATGAGTAAACATAGCCATAGCCATTTCCTTTGGAATGCCACAGCTGCTCAAAATTGCCAAGTTGGCCATCCCTGTTGTTAATAAGAAGAAAAGTATATGAGCCCAAATCTATTGCAAGAATGAACTGAAAGAAAAGCCAATCAATGCCACATAGACAATGAACAATTTATTACCAGTATGAGCACAGATGCTGTGATGCACCGATGTACCGCTTTAATATTGTGGTAGCTTTGAGACCAGGAACTTCCTGGCTGACAGCTGGCATCTTCTGGCCTCAACTACTGATGCCATTAATTAGATTCTGTTGGCAAAAATGTTTTCATTTACACTGCAGACTACCAGTAAAATTATTTTGAAATCATCTAATAAAAGCAAATGGACCATATGTTTCCTTACCTACAATATACTAAAAACAAAAATGTCATACATTTAAATAAGCAAATACAAAATACAAAAAGGCTGACCAAATCTGATGTGCATTATCAGATGAATTTTAAAAATCCAGATAAATTTTTAATATTTTCCATTTCAAAGATTTTAAGACTTTATTCTTTCTTTTTTAAATGAAGTAAATCCAAGGCAGTAGCAAGCTTCAAAGTCTGCTGAGTCTGCTAATAAAAAGGATTTTAAAAACAAAAGATGCTGTCAGGTGTCCTCTTTCACCATTCTGCATGATCTTGGTACACTTAGAAATGAACCATCATTTGTCATGTCCCTTGCAACTTCCAGATGGTCTTGTGGCCATTATGTTGTGCTGATTCGACTCAATTCCTGCCGGATGGCTAAAAAACAACAAGAAACAAATAAGATGTAAGCCAAGGCTTATTACAAGGGAGAAGGTAACCACAATCTCACACCTAGAGTCCATCAAATATTTCATAAGAATTGGTTGAAACAGCAAATACAGAAGCAGCACTGAGAAAATAAGGATAAGTAGGTTAGCTCCTGGTAAAATTCAAAGGACACAAGTATCACAGTGGCCTGGAGTTTCCTCTTTTATTTTCTATTATACATGATGAACTTTATGGCTTCAAACATTCAGGTTTTGATTAAGATATCAAATAGGTAAATACTCTGGTGTATTTTCTTATTGTAGCAGTGCAGAGTAGGTAGTATGTGAGACAAGGCACCCTTCTTCCACATTAGGAAAGGCATCAGCTTATATGCCAGTTGAGTAGAAAGCCTGGCCTGTATTCTGGCATCTTAAAACATAATGACAGCAAATTTACTTCCAGACCATTATTTTTAGTAAGAATTGCCTCCTTCACATTTTATCAAAACCACCCAGGGCAATTCTTCAACCCTGTAACATCCCATTCTGGCTTATGCTTTTATAGCTCCCTAAGTTCTTAAAAGCAATTATATAAGCTGTAACAAATGGTTGCACCTAATTAACCCTTGCTGATCTCAAAAGCTAAGCTTGACTAGATCTGGCTTATCTGGAGATCATCAAGAACCTAAAAAAGCATTGGAAGTCAAACCATGTTTGAACTGTTGCTACAGAACGATATGCTCATGTAGTCACCAGGAGTTGAGCTTAAACAGGTTTGAATTATAATATGGCAGAATGTATATTTTACTTCCCTTTATGACAAATCTTGAGTTCAGTTGACAAGTTGAAAGACAGTCTTTCATTCTGTGTTATCTGATTTCCGGATTTCCATGTATTGTGAAAGCTAACTGACCATGTTTATTGGGTGTGTAAATCATAAAAGGTTTCAGATTGAGATGAAAAAACCCCCACTGCTTCAAGTATTTTCTACCTGACTTCTCTGGGAATCTGAGTCTTAAAATTAATTGATAAATCTCCCAGTCTTTCTAGAGATAAATTAAAATTGAAGATCGAAGATTCTCCTATCTATACTTTCCTAAAAGTGGACAATGGAAAGAGGGTAGCCAGACAGTCATGGCAGTTAAATTAATATAATCTTGACAGGGTGGACAATCTCTTGACATTTCTCACATACACTAGAGTTAAAGCTTCTTAATCTGCTTGCTGTGATAAGAGATACAACTGCCCTAATATCTGGAATGCAGCTTATTGAGAAAGGGTGTGGGGGATTAAGCATTCGTGCTTGTCCTTGTTGATGAACATTATTTAATCAAATTAACATTTATAAGAGAGAAAAAGGACTCCATCTTGATCCCTTAACCCAGGCTAATGTAAGAAATGAACCCCTTCCTAGCTTCTTACCATCAATTATCTCTTCTTTTACTTTGTGTAACTCTTTTACAACTTCCTCCAATATTTCCTACAGAAAGAAAAACAGAAAGCAGTTGAAAAATGCTCTTCAACACTGTAAAGGCCAAGTCTCTTAAAATGGTAAAAATAAAATTCTCCCAAATATTCCTGCAAATGTAATTTGAATTTCTACTTTTGCACTGAAAAGATAATTAAAATGCGCTATTCAGAATGATGTTTTACTGAAGTTAAGCAATGTTTAGGCTTACTTGGATTGCATAATAACAAACTGAAATGAGTTCACATGGATTTATTTTGGCACAGAATGCCCACAGGATGAATATCTATATGCATATGTCAAAAGCAGTTCTGACACTACAAACCGATTAATATTTCTTGGATTTGAAAGTAACGGCCAGCTGAGACAAACCTGTTTTATAAAGAAAACCTATGTGTCTTATTCACTACACAGAAAATAGAAGACAATCTTGAATTTGCTGGCACCTGTTCCTGCTTTCTCTTTTTGTAAAATTTAATGCAGGGTCAGAGGGACACAGGTCTTAGTAAATACTTTGCATGCAAAAAAATTCAGATTCAGTTCCTGCTTTCTTTTTGCCTGAAATCTGGAGAACTGGTATCAGTACAGAGCTAGATAGTCCAAGGATCTGAGTATAAAAGTATAAATCGGATAAATTATTTATGGAATCTTGGCATTTAGGGATGGTTTATTTATTAACTAGGTTAGGGGAATCAGAAAAAAATTCATACATCCACAACTTTTCTCATTTTATTGCCTTCACAGGTCATGAAAATGAATCATTTCTTTGTGAGACAAACATCTCATAGCCAGTTCTGTCCAAATTATATAAATCAATTGCTCTCTGAAGAACCATAGCTTAGTGGTAGAACAGCTCCAGATTCCATTCTTGAATTTTGAGTTAAGCAAGCAGAAATACTGAACAAAATTGTTGCTTTCCTTGAACACCATTAATAAACATTCCTCTATCAATATTCATCAAGGTACTCATTCCAACTCACTTGTTTCATACGATCAAAATCTAAAGTGTCCATTGCCACATCATTACTGCTGCTTGCTGGCTTCATCCTTGAGACAGAATAAAAGAAAATAAGAGACAATTCCATGCTGGGTTCCACAGTATTGATATGTGATGTTAGTAATTCCTTATAAAATGGTATTGTGATGACCCAGGGCCCCGAACGGAGGCAAAGCAATTAGCTGGTCAGAATAATTATCTTTGTAAGCACTGCCAATGTTCACCCAACAGCCCCCATATATGCTGGCACAAGTTCAATAAAACAGTCACCGTTTTATTTATTTACAGTTCTTTAAAGTAAAACAGATAACAAAGTATGATCTTTTCAACGCCCAGTTTGCCTGTAACCTGCAAATTGCAAAACTGAAGACAGCAAGGAAAACTCAGCAGGAAACAAACTTGATCCAAAATATAAAGAATCCAAGTACAAGAGCTCACATCACAAGAGTTCATGTTTGTCCCCGGCAAATGCCCCACCCCACCCTTAAATCCCTACTCTCCAGGTGTGCCTTGTGAAGTGGGGTGTGATGCTTCCCCCCCCCCCAAGCAAGTGAGCCTGCCTCTGTTGTTCCCTCCTCCTCTCTGCTCTCCTTGCTCTGGGATCATGTGGGGAGGGGCCTTGCTCCTCGCCTGAGCTCTGCCTTCCCTGTTCCAAACTTGAAGGGCCCTGGCCTGCTTCAGCCTGTTCCTCCCCCCAGTCCTCCGAAGCCACAGACACCCCTCCTGGGCCTCAACAGGGAACTCCATGTCATCCTCAGAGTCAGGCTCGGACAGAGGCATGACACTATCCCCCCCACAGGACCCCCTCCCCCGGGACCATGCAGACTAGGACGGTGCGGGAAACGGGTATGAAAATTGCAAACCAGATGAGGGGCGTGAACGTCGGTGGCATCGATCCACGTGAAGTCCTCAGGTCCATAGCCTTTCCACGCCACGAGATACTGAAACCGGCCCCGCAACCGACGGGAATCCCGAATACTGTCCACTTCATACTCCATATCTCCATGGGGGGTGGCCGGACCTGGTGGTGGTGGAGCTGGCCGATGTGGATTGTCGGCTGCGACTGGAACCAGCAATGACCTGTGGAAAACCAGGTGAATCCGCATGGTCCGGGGCAATGACAAGCAAAACGCCACTGGATTGATCACCGCTTCGACTGGAAATGGACCCAAGTAACGGTGATCAAGTTTTTTCGACAGCCGTTCTGTAGGCAGGTGCCGCGTGGAAAGCCAAACCCGATCGCCCACAGATAACAGAGGGACATCTCGACGATGACGGTCAGCGAATTGTTTGTAATCTTCCTTGGCTTTCTCCAGCTAGTGCCAAACTACTTGATGCACCACCTTCAGCTCCTGGAGGAGCTTGTCCAGGGCCGGAACTGGGGAGTCCTATAGAGCCAACGGAAAGAGCCATGGATGAAATCCGTAACTGGCAAAGAACGGTGACACGCGGGTAGATGCATGCTGGGCATTGTTATAGGCAAACTCCGCCACAGCCAGCAGCTCCGCCCAATTGTCCTGTTGGATGTTGCTGAAACAGCAGAGGTACTGTTCCAAGATTGCATTCACCCTCTCTGTGCCCCCATTGGTTTCGCGATGATGGGCGGAGGACAGACACACTTGTACCTGCAGTTCCGTGAGTAGGGTCTGCCAGAAGCGTGCCGTAAATTGCACCCCCCCCAATCTGACACGACTTGGTCTGGTAACCATGTAGCTGAAATACATAGGTGATAAACAACTGGGCCGTCATCCGTGCTGTAGGGAGACCCACACACGGGATAAAATGAGCCATTTTGGTGAGCATGTCCACCACCACCAAGATGATTGTGGCATCCTTGGAAGGGGGCAACTCGGCAATGAAGTCCAACGAGAACGCCCCCCCAGGGTCTTTCTGGCGTGGGTAGCGGCTGCAAGAGACCAGGGGGTGCACCAGTAGCATACTTGGCCTGTCGACAAATGCTGCACAATGCAACATAAATAGACATATTGTGCTGGAGCCGCGGCCACCAAAACATTCTGGAGACAAGGTACAGTGTTTTGAAGACCCCAAAGTGACCCGCTGATGGATTATCATGGCATTGTTTCAGAATGATGCCACAGAGGGGTCCCCCAGGAACATAGATGCAGTCTCGGAAACGCAACAAGTCATCTGTGTACATCCAAGGAGTCTTATCTCCCTCATCGCCAGCCAACTCACGACGTCGAGCTGCCACGAACAGATCCTGCTGCTGCGCGTCACAAATTCTGCCGTGTAGGTCCACGGGCTCCTCTGTGGCCGCCAACCGTTCCAAGGGGATAACCGTTCTGGGCATGATCTTGTCTCCTTTCGAGTGAATTCGGGCTTCCGAGATAGCGCGTCTGCACACTGGTTCTGTCCGCTAGGGACACAGGTCACCCGAAAATCAAACCTCGCAAAAAACAGTGACCATCGCACCTGTCGCTGATTTGGCGTTCTGGCAGTCCGTAGGTGCTCTAGGTTCCGATGGTCTGTTCGAACCTCGACTTGGTAATTGGCCCCTTCTAAGTGGTGCCGCCATGTCTCAAAAGTGACTTTAACCGCCAACAATTCCTTGTCCCAGATCGTGTAATTCCATTCGGGGGCCGACAGCTTCCGTGAATAATAGGCACATGGGAACAAGGTACCTGCGGGAGCATAGGCTTGCAGAAGCACTGCCCAGATGGTCACATCCGACGCATCCGTCTCCACCACGAATGGCCTTAAGGGATCAGGATGCTTGAGGATAGGCTCAGAGGCAAATGCGGCCTTAAGGACATGCAAAGCCCCCTGCTCCTCCGCACCCCAGAGGAACTTCACCCCTTTCCTTAACAGATTGGAAAGGGGAGTGGTCAGGGTCGCGAAACGAGGAATGAACGTGCGGTAATAATTTGCAAAGCCCAACAGATGCTGCACGTCCTTGACCCTCCGCAGAGGCTGCCATTCCTGCAGCGACTTTACTTTCTCCAGATCCATCTCCACACCCTTGGGCGAGATGCAGTGGCCCAGAAAGTCGATCGTGGTTTGTGCAAACTGGCACTTCTCACGCTTGGCAAAGAGATGGTTATCCTCAATCATTGCAACACAAGCCGAACATGGTTCCAATGCTCTCATGGGGAGGACGGGTAAATCAGGATGTCGTCAAGATAGATGACCACAAACTTGTCCAACAGGTCCCTGAACACGTAGTGCATAAAGTGCGTTGGTCAGGCCAAAGGGAATAACTGTGTACTCAAAATGTCCATAAAATGTCCGGAAGGCCATCTTTCACTCATCTCCTGCTCGAACTCGGGACTAAGTTATAAGCTCCCCGTAAGTCCAACTTAGTAAATATTTTGGCCTGGCGGAGCCTCTCGATGAGTTCAGGGATGAGCAGGAGTGGATACTGATTACGGATCGTGATGGCATTCAGTTTCCGATAATCACAGCACAGTCTTAAGCTCTCCTGACTTCTTCACGAAGAGCACTGGCGCAGTCAAGGGGGAGGTGAAAGGCCGTATAAACCCCTTCCAGAGATTCTTGTCGAGGAAGTCCTTCAAAGCTGCCAACTCTGGTTCTGACAGAGAGTAAATCTGACCAACCGGCAATTTGGCATGGGGCACCAAATCAACTGTGCAGTCATAAGACCGATGCGGGGGCAACTGATCTGCCTTTTTTTCCCCAAAGACATCGGCATAATCCCCCAACTCTGCCGATAGGTCCAAGTCCACAGGGGTAGCCACCTTCCTGCGCAGACATGCAGGTGATGGGTGGCATACTTCTTGCCGGGGAACTGTCCCAGACGACCAAATAATCTGCGGATCATGAGCCCTCAACCATTCCAAACCCAACACCACAGGAAAGTGAGAAATGGTAGCCACATAGAACACAGCTTCTTCCATATGTGGCCCAATACGCATGTGAAGGGGTCTGGTTGCAGCAACCACTGAGCCGGAACGAAGGGGCTGCCCATCAATCGTCTCCACCAAGACTGGCGGTGACAACTGCTGCTGGGGAATGGACCACTGCGCGACAAAATCTGAGTCCATGAAATTAGCAGTAGCCCCGGAGTCAACCAAGGCCTGGACCTCCACCACTCCCTGACCAGGCATGAACACAAGGTGTTTAACAAGAGTCTGATGAGGTGGAGGTACTGGACCCGTGTCCAAGCGAGCCTGATCTATGGAGCCCTCTAGGCCGGGCCCGGCTCGTTTCCAGCCGCTGCTTTAGGTGCCTTCACTGGACACATGGCCGCCATATGGCCTGGACTGCCACAATACAGGCAAAGGCCTTCACGGCGACGGTGATATTTTCAGCTTGGGTCAGATGGGGTCATGCAGCCCCCAAGTGCACTGGCTCCTCCAGAGGCGGTACCAACGGTGCCACTGTCTTAACAGGTGCGGGCAAGGCCTCCGTCTGTTGTCACGCCCGTCGCTGCTGTAGTCTTGTATTGATACAGAGACACAGGTGCATGAGCTCCTGCACGGAGTGAGGGCATTCAGTGCATGCCAGCTCATCCAGGAGTTCGGATGAAAGTCCCTCCTGAAACTGGTCCATAAGCGCCGCCTCGTTCCACTGCAGCTCCTGACAAACCAACTGAAACGTAGCAATGTAATCTGTCAGCAAACCACGCCCCTGTCGCAACTCTCTCACCCGATGGTTTGCAGTCTGGGCCATAACTGAGTCCTCAAACATGGCCTTGAGTTGCCGGCAAAACTCTGCATAATTGTCCAGCAGCTGATTGGGCTGGGTCAGCAGGGGTATTGCCCAACGTGCTGCCGTTCCTGTCAACAGGCTTAGCGCAAACCCCACCTTATCCCAGTCAGTGGGGAAATCCTCTGGCCGAAGGCTCATACATAACTGGCACTGCCCAAAGAACTATGGGAATTGTGCCTGTGAGCCATCAAACTTGTCTGGCACTGGAACAGGGTTTCTGCGGCGTGGCCGAGCTGCTTGCATCTGTGCTATCTGTGCAGTCAGGAGGGCCACCTGCTGTTTTAGCTGATCCATGGTCGCCCTACTTGGTCTGGAGGAACAATTGGGAGTGGGCCGGGAACAAAATGTGATGACCCAGAGCCCCAAATGGAGGCAAAGCAATTAGTTGGTCAGAATAATTGTCTTTGTAAGCACTGCCAACATTCACTCAACAGCCCCCACATATGCTGGCACAAGTTCAATAAAACAGTCACCGGAGTTAAACAGTTCTTTAAAGTAAAACAGATAACAAAGTATGATCTTTTCAACGCCCAGCTTGCCTGTAACCTGCAAACTACAAAACTGAAGACAGCAAGGAAAACTCAGCAGGAAACAAACTTGATCCAAAATACAAAGAGTCCAGGTACAAGAGCTCACATCACAAGAGTTCACGTTTGTTCCCGGCAAATGCCCCACCCTACAGCATCTCCTTAAATCCCTACTTCCCAGGTGTGCCTTGTGAACTGGGGCGTGACGCTCTCCTCCCAAGCAAGTGAGCCTGCCTCCGTTGTTCCCTCCTCCTCTCTGCTCTCCATGCTCTGGGATCACGTGGGGAGGGGCCTTGCTCCTCGTCTGAGCTCTGCCTTCCCTGTTCCACACTTGAAGAGTCCTGGCCTGCTTCAGCCTGTTCCTCCCCACAGTCCTCCGAAGCCACAGACACCCCCTCCTGGGCCTCAACAGGGAACTCCATGTCATCCTCAGAGTCAGGCTCCGATGGAGGCATGACAGGTATATAAGATGGAAGTTCACCACAGAGCTCAACCATTCATTGTTTGACATTCTATTATGCTTTCTATATCATTTAATAGTTAGATGATTTTGCTAAACAAGCAGCTTCAACCTCTGCCCACTGTAAATCACTGAAATATCATTTTAGCTTTGAAAATGTCCCGAGAAGGGAGAAAGCAAGCAAAACTACATTTGTGTATCTGAAGATTTTTTTATACCTGTAATGCTAATTCAAATAGTTTCCATGACTACTTTACTTCATAAACTGTTGTTTCAGTTAATTATTTACTAGATACTGTTTGCCATGGCTTCATTGTCAGGATAGCAACTGGATAACCTTTCAAAAATTTCTGTTCATTGTAGAAACCTATCGTTATTTTTCCTATAAATCATCTTTAACATCACCATCATCTGCCTGCAACAGTATCACTACCACCAATATATATGTAAATTAATGTGCCAAAGAATCTATCATCTCTGTATAATGTCTCCCCCCTACTTAAGCCATTTGGTCATAACTCATTCCAAAGCCTAAGCCATGAGGACATCATGTGGTCAACACAAGCAATAAGTCAGGAGCGAGGAGTTTATATGATCTCTTTTTATCTGATGTGATATGGGAGGCTGAATAATGATTACATGGTAAAGTAATTACAGGAAAATTACAAGTGAAAAGTCACTATCAATGGACTATTGGCATTTAAGGAAGTTGGACATTAAGAAAAGGTTATATGCAAATATCTAGCTTTTATAATCCTTCAAACCAAATAATTTTATCCCATCTTTTTGGTCAATATTCAACTGATAAAGGCTATGTAATGGATCAGAAATAAAATATTTATTAACACCCATAGCAGTTTATTTTTCTTCAATTGCAGAAAAGGCAATAAAAGCAATTTTGTACAATTTACATTTTTTTTCTAGCATACATGTATGCATACATGTAAGCAGTAGGTGTGAATTTAAATGGACTCCAGAAGATGGTAGAGGACAGGAAGACCTGGAGGAACATTGTCCATGGGGTCGCGACGGGTCGGACACGACTTCGCAATTAACAAAAACAACATGTACCCACATGATATTTTTCGGCAAATCCTGGGAACTGAACTAAGGTCATCCAGCAAAATATTTCAGACTCAACAATTGGACTAACCAAATGGTTATAATGCTAAAATTATAATTAGGCTTGGCTGAAATCTAAAGGTGTAATTTAGTTTTGGGAAGGAACCTACTAAATTTCATTATATATTATATATTTTTATTTATTAAATGTATTGATTATATTCATATGAGGTATGTAATTTGATGCTTCTCAATTCTTGTTTTAACTTTTTACAGAATAGTCACTGAGGTGAGTGTGTGATCAGGCATGGAAATAAATGATGCGGAAATGGGGATTTAATAGTCTCCTTAATTATACTGTTACTAGATGGGTGAGAGAAACAGCTGTTTATAACTAAGTGCCTCTCATCTTGCGCGAACCTGAAGCTTCAGGGTATAATTTTCACTGTGTGTGCTGCATTTTGGAAGGGGGGCATAAGGATGAAAGCAATCATCATTGACATCCTGATTTTAATTTGGCCTTCCATAACCACTGCATAAAATATTAAGAAAAAAAGTGAAAAGCATAATTCAACATTAAATAATGTTTAGTATGTTGACTTTCTCTAAAGTTAAAGTAACACCCTATATACCAGTATCTGCAGTGGAATGAGCTATGGGTATACTGTATCTTTCCATAATATATTTTCTTTATGTACTTTCTATATCTCATAGCTATGTCCTCCTGTTAGATTGCTTTATGTAACATGTTTTATTTAGTTTTAGGACAATAAGTTTTTTTAACAAAACAAGTCAGAAAATATGCTAAAAATAATGCATTTTTTTTAAACTATACATTATTTTTCCAACAAAGAAGTGTGGCTTCTGCTCACTGAGTTCTACTGAATTCTTCCCATAATTCTCATGATTCACAGTATTTCCATGTAAAAGCAATCCATGATGGATTTCAATTACTAATTTCAATTACCTAATCCTTACATCAGCATCACTGACATCTAATTTGTTAAGCAGCAGAAAGCAAGCAAACAAATAAAGACGGCAAGTCACACAGGCATATAGCATGTTAGTTGTTGGATGAAAAGTTACATGTTTTGGGAGAAGATAAGCTAAAACACTATAGAGAAGTCAGGACAGTTTTTCAGTACCTAAAAGATGGCTGAAACTGAACAGGGCCTTTAGATTCAGGACTTCTCTCCACTGATGGGTTTCTATGTAATGGAATGAGAGGATACAAAATGATCACATCCAGAAGCATCATGCACAAGTCCAATACATGCAGGCGATCCATACATGATCTTCTGCAACTAACCTAGAGAGTAATGAAGTGACCGGTTTTTCCATGGAATTGCTTCTCTCCCAAAGTTTCTTGCCAGCATCTAGGTAAAGAACAGATAAATAAACAGAAAGCTATAGGACCTAGATTGTGGAAAAAGAGTTTGGGCAGATATACGGGGAGGAAGACATAATTTGTATAAGAAAAATACTAAACTACCTTATATGTTTTTAATAGCAGCGGATGTACTGGCGGAATAAACCCAAACAAACAGATCCAGGTCAACAATAGTTATACATCTGCCAAATCAGGAATTCTTATTAAAAACCTAGAACACTAAGGAAGGATCTTTCAGCTAATAGTGAGGAAATGAGTTCTTGAACTTTTAGCAACACAGTAAAAACTGCTAAGTGAAGTATAAATAAAAATTATATAGCTTATAATACATATTATATTCCTTTTTTTCACCTTGCTTTGTAATATCCAAACCTATGTAGATTCTCTATAACTCATAGTCCAGCAATTCTGTTGGAAAGATAGCATCAGATGGAAAGATCCATAAGAGTGATATTTCTTTTACCTGACCTCTGATATTAGCCCTGATTTTTTTTTTCATGGTCTTATTATTTTTATGTGGCTGGTTCCTTCTCCACATATCTAGGTTGATATGGGACACAACCATGGATAGCAATTGCCACTGTTGGTTGTAAGAAAGTGGATTGTCCTTATTCCTGTTCATGTATGCAGGTACTGTAGAGAAACACATCTTGAATCCAAACTGTTTGGAAAATTTAAAATCTTCATTAACTGTAACTGGTTTCATTCAATATATATTTTAAAAAATCAGGCAGACCTTCAAATGAAGAATAATATTCTGACCATTTCTCAGCAACTAATTTGCTAGGTCAATATCACTGCAAGAAAGTAATCTACTGTGCTTAAGATATAATCCTGTGTTGTTTTGCATATTCAATTTGAAAGCAATAGCATCTAGGTGTGCTCAAAATATTATGTTGACGTGTTGGATATTTAGTTTTTGTTTTATGATGTGTTAATTTCCTTACCAGACATGAATTACTGTTGCTAGCTCACAAATCAATTCTAGTTATGAACCTATTTTAATCTTACTTGAATAATCCACAATAAGCTGACCACAAATACTGATTCTCACAATACTTTAAGGTAAAATCAAATCAACTACATTACTGCTTAGCAAGAAGTCTGAATATAAGCACCAAATTACTGAAGTTGATGCTCTTTTAATTATTGAATGGGGATCACTTTAAAGATTTCTGAATCTCCTTCACATCTATTTTGCATAATTTAGATTTCACCACAAATACAAATACTGTCAAAGGAAAGAGTACAAGAGTTGAATACCTGAAGAATTCTGCTGTTGGACAGGGCCTCGTGTAACAGGAGTAGGAGAAGTGCTAGCATCTTCCTAAAAGCAAGCAAAATGTTATCTTAATATTGTGACTGCGGTTTGGAAAACATATAGCTATATAATATTACTAGCCGACAATAGCAACAGAATCGCATTATGTGGCAAAGGAAGTTCTCTTTAACCAGGAAAAGCTATTTATTCACTCAGCCATTTATTGTCAGCTTTTCTACACCTACCATCCCATAAACATAATTTGGCAAAAATCTAATATTGGTGCTCAAAGTATTCCTCCTTCCCTTCCTATATATTAAATTTGTTTGCTGCGAGGCGATTGTTGGCAGCTTACATTAAAAGCAATAAAACTATACGCACACACAGACACACTTGCAAAACATCAGGAGGTTGGGAGCAAATTTCATTTCAGGGGGCAAGATGTTCCAAAGGGACAGAGCCACATTAGAGGAAGGCTCTTTTCCTGGATCCCACCAGCCATAATTCCCTTATCAACAGGGTCCACAGCATGCCTCCTCTGCCAACACAGGTGGGATGAGTCAGTCCCATTGGGGTGAGGCGGTTCCTCAAGTAGCCTGGACCCATGCCATTTAGGGATTTAAAGATGATAACCAACCCCTTGAATTGCAACTGGAAGCAAACTGGCAGCAAGTGGAATATAGGCCAATCTAGGGCCCCCCAAAACTGAATATGCTGCCGCATTCTGAACCAGTTGTTGCTTCCAAATGCTCTTTAAGGTAGCCCCATATACAGTGCATTGCAATAGTTCAGACATGAGATAGCCAGGGCTTGAATGACTGAGCACAAGGATTCCTGACCCAGGAAAGGCTGCAACTGGTGCATAACATAAAGCTGCGCAAAAGCTCTCCCAGCTGCAACTGCCACCTGCTCTTTGAGTAGGAATGGCAAATCCAGGAGAACCCCCAAGTTGCAGACTGAGTCTGCCTGGGGTAGTATATCCACATCCAGAACTAAAGATATTGAAGTCCTGGATCTTGAAGCTCCATGCACCCAAAGCCACTCAGTTTTCCCAGGGTTCAGCCAAAGTCTGTTATCCCTCTTCCAGGCCTATGAGAGGGTAGTGAAGGCATCACTTGGATCACTAGGGGTGGAGATATAAAATTCAGTATCGTCAACATATGACTGTATCTCAACCCATGTTGACAGATGATCTCACCCAGATGTAGATGTTAAAAAGGAGTGGAGAGAATACCAAGCCCTGTGGCATGCCTATTAACACTGATTGGGACTGGCCTTGGAGAAAGGAGCCAAACCAGTACAAGACTGTGCTGCTCAGTCCCGGACCCCATAGCCGGTCCAAAAAGATACCAGGGTCGATAGTATTGAAGGCTGCTGAGAAGTCAAGGAGAGCTAGGATGATTGCACTACTCCCATCCTGCTCTCACCAGAGATGATACACAAGTGTGACCTTCCTTCCCCCCTCCCCTCTTCTCCCCTAGTGGTTAATAATGTAACAAATGAAATGTCCACAATAAACTACTATTTAAGCAATTAAATTAAACTGTCCATGATAACAATAATGAAAAGATATCATGACAGGAGACAGTGTTAACCACCAAAGCTTTCTAGCTCCATCTTTATTTCTTATCAAGAGATCAACAATGTGGCTAGTCTAGTTTCTACGAACAGACTAGTTAGTCCATAATATCCTGCAGAAACTAGTTTCCTTGTCTTGGTCCCCTCATGAAAATGATAAATTACCTGAAGTTTTCTATGGAGTAAACATAATGGACAGGTTGATTCAGTTGGAGAAGACAGTCTGGCAAGTATTTTGTGACAAGTCATACAAAGCAGCATACAAACTGCTCTGGAAACTCAAAAGGGAACCAGTACAGACCCTGCAACATAGATGTACTACTATATATTCTTGGTGATTAACACTGTCCCAAAAGCAGGCCACTGCATTATATAAGAATTGCAGGTTCCGAATATCTTCAACAGAAGCTTTATGTTGATCATTCTACAATATGAATAATGATGAAGGTATTATTGTTGAGAAACCCTCACTCTCCAGGTAGGGTAACAACAGATACCCAGTAGCACCCAGGCAGAGAACCTCCATCTGTTTATCCAACAGTAGTGATGCATCAAGGGCAGGGTAGGCAACCTTGGCTCTTTTATAACTTGTGGACTTCAATTCCCAGAATTCCTGAGCTGGCTCAGGAATTCTGGGAGTTGAAGTCCACAAGTCATAAAAGAGCCAAGGTTGCCTACCCCTGGTCTAGGGCTCACAGAGATACTCACTAGGGGTACTGTTTCCCCATGAAAGACAACAGTGGAACTGACAGAGATGTCTACAGCATTTTTCAATTACCTGATGAGGCAGATCAAATGTTTCAATATTAAATAATATATAAGAGCAGATAAAGGGTACTCTTCACAAGTTCTGATAGACATACAAATGACTTCTGTGATTCAAATGCCACAGAGTCAGAAGTACTCCACTTACATTTTGGCTTTCCTCTTCTTTTTTATCCACTGGCTTATCTGACTGGGATGCTGCTTTTCTCCTTAGGACAGAGTGAAAAAAGGCTATAAATCAATTCCTTAGAAAGATATTCACAACCTGCAAATTCAGATATGTTAATTCCTTCCAACATAATTGGAATTATCTGTACAAATAGCAAAGGGGTATATTCAGTAGTGTGCTGGAGCTGGCTCAATCTGGCTTGTGAGAGCCAATTGTTTTTTTTTAAAATACTTTTGTGAGTTAGTTGAGAGCAGAGCTGAGCCTCAAATCTATGTGTCAATCAGCTGTTTTGTGTCTAGCAGCATGGCATGAGGGTAGAAATGTGGCTGTCAGAACAGGTGGTTAAACATTTAGTAATATACCAGTGGACATATATAATGAAGAACTCACATTGACTAGCAAATAGCTCAAATAAAATCTTCATCTTCTCCCTGAAACAATACTGATGGGCATAATTAGAGATATGGTATTTTGCTTTGAAAATTTGGTTAATTTTATACCAAGTGTAATTTCTCTGGGTGATTTAGCCTGCAGTGGACCAATTCCTTCCCACCCTTCTAGTCTTTTTGAAATTGTGGGTAAATAAAAAGAGATAGTGCTCATCACGATCACAATCACTAACCTTTTTGCTAATAGTTTATTCATTTCCTCCATAAGCCCACCTCCTCCACTACTTGTTCGATTGACATCACTCTTGGAAGCACCACTGGGACTAGAACCTCCAGATCCATCCTCTGGCTTTTAAGAGAGAAACCAACAATTTAGAGTCCACAGGCATTAAGAATTTAACTGTTCAGAAAAATCTAAACATCAAAGACATCCATTCTTACTTTTTTATATGTTAGAATTTCAAGATCCCAATTTTAAGCTCATAATGCTTCTATCACAGTCAAGAGCCTTACCCGTTGCACTCTTCTTAGTTTGGCACCAGCCAGAGCCGCTGCTAGTCCTGACATTGATCCATCATCAATGCTAGATCCTCCACCACCTGCTGGCAATGGGGGAGGAGGAGGAGGTGTGGTTCCCGTAGGTGGTGGAGGAGGGGGAGGGGGAGGAGGTGGTCCACCAGATGATATGGGTATTCCAGTGGCAACAGAGGGGTGACCTGGTGGTAACGCAGGACCTGAAACAAAGAACTTGTCATTCAGGAACTGGAATATATTGTCTTGTTTGCTTCCTTTGCTGACAGTTGCTTGGGCCAGTAATAGCAGCCAAAATGAAAGCCATAAGAGACAACTAGGAGACATCCTAGTTTCTAGGATCCTCAGAATCTCTCAGGTGATTTTATCTCTGTGACACAAACCATAGGGCTTGTTGGGAAATAACATGGGTCTTTCCTCTTGGCTGTAAGAACCAGATGGCATCTCTCTCCACCACATTTAGTCTCTAGTTTGATGCCTTATTTTAGGCTGAGGAATGCTTACACCAGGAAGGGGATATATCTCAGCATTTTATAAAAAAATAGCAATGTGTAATAAATAAAAATAATGCATCAGTGTACATGATAATATCCAGTAAAACCTAAATACCTTGCAGTGGTTAAACTGAACATGAGAGGAAAAAGAGGGATTCAAGATCATACGATAATTCAAGTTAAGAATTATAGCTATAGTATATGTGCATTATTTTCAGTCAGGTTCTGTTCTGGCGATTTCACTACAAGATATTATTCTTGAAAGCAAAAGCTACAATGATGGCTTTGCTTCAACATTCTTATTCAAGGTGGTGGGGAGAACTGTCCCCCAGCAATGCAAGCTTTTAATCCAAAAATGGAGTACAGCTGTCAACAGTAGCATAACTCAATTCAGGTGATATTTTTAAGAACTCTTTTAAATGTTTCCAAATTGTGTTTCTAATTCTGTTATTCTTTTGGAAACCACATAATCCCTCCAAAAAGAAAAGCTTGACTAAATACAATTAAATCTTAATTGAATACATGTTTACAAAGGCAAAGAAGTTTTAGACGGTTGTTATGTTGACAGGTGGTTTAAACAGATGACTCACAAAATTATTGGCGCTGATCCCAATTATTTGTTATCCAGGAGTATGATATTGGCATGTTACTGTTTTAAACAAAGATTATGGAATAACTCAGTATAACAGCAAAGCCCAAAGCTCAATGTTAGAATAAATTACATTTTCCAGTTTCCGATATATTTTAGCAGTTTACATTTAAGTAAATATAGAATTATTTTTTCTAAAACCAGATTAAATCCATTGCCATCCAATTTCTTATATAGTAGAGATTTCAAAAGAACCCCCTCTCTCAAATATCTTGGTCCTGTAAAGGTCATAGTGCCAAAGCAGAGCAACATCAGTGATAATTGCAGTGGTCCTTCATATAAACTAGTATTTTATTACACAGATAAGGAGAACAAAGCATACCAATCATACCTGAGCAGTCCAATCATACCTCAAGTGTAACAATATTGCTAAGGTGTATCACCAAACATGTACACTTCTTTCCCAGTCTTAATCAATGATTTTTTCATAAGCCAGTAACCCTTGCTTAAAGATTAATTTGATTAATCATAAGGGGATGTTCATTCAAAAGTTTTAGACTGCTGTTCTTTGAGGGAAATTGTTTTTCAGATTCTTCATATTTTATATTGGCTAAATTATCCACAACAAAATAATGGAGAGAAGAAAAATTTGCATAATGTTCCTAATTCCCCCACCCACAATAAATTAGATTCAACGTATTTTCTATAGACAGAACCAGTTTTCTTGGAGTCTCACCACTGTTTCACCATGAGCTTCAAAAAATAGCATAGAAGCAAGATATTAGATAAGTATACTCCTGATCTGATCCAACAGGAATCATCTCATCTATATGTAAAATTTTATTCTATTATATTAGATACAATCTGTATGATTTCCAATTTATATAGAGCTTGCTCTTCCTGTTCCCAGATTAAAATCTTTTCCAGGTGATAAAGTATGTGATACCTCCCCTTTTAAAGTTAGCAATTTTAGAACACAAACATATAAACAGGCAAGTTTTAATAGAAATATTGAGGAATAGCCACTCTAATAGATTCACTGCAAGTCCTTCTCTCTCTAGAGCAGGAGTGTCAAACTGCTGGCCGACAGGCCGGTTGCATCATAAGGAGGCCGCGCCCACCTCAGCTCTGGCAATGCAAAAAAAGTCATGATACGTTGCGACACGTCACATGACACGGCGAGTTTGACACCCGTGCTCAGAGTAAGCATTTCTCATAATTAGGCTAATAAGTAGACTGTGACCTGCTTTTTATAATTATCTTTTGATAATTATAGGAGATGACCAGACTGAGTCTGAGGGAGGGATCAAATGTGTTATAAAGTCACTCCGCACCCACAAGAGGTCTAAGTTCAGCCCACTTTGAATACCACTCTTGTCTCCTGCTCATTTCTTTGGACCATTAGTTGGTCAGATTCTTGTAGAGAGTTTATGCTTGCAATAAATCTTTATATTCATTCGAACTGCCTGAATCTCCTGACACTTTCCTTGTATTTTGACACTTTCCTTGTATTTTGAATAAGTATTTTCGGGTATTAGATGTTATACCATTGTCGCACTCTTTCTTTTTGTCTTTTTTCAAAGTAATCTAACTTTAGTGCTTTATATAAAAGTGGCCTTACATTAATCTAGCCCTTTAAAATCATTATTACAACCAAGCCAATAATCACTAATTAGCACCCGAAATAAATAATTATCAAGTTAAGAAAGAATTAAGTTTCTATCTTATTTCAGAAGTCTGTCCTTATTATAATGAATTGTACAAAATCTAGTATATTAAAAACTTATACTAAAAATCTATACACCCAATCTTCAGAAGTGGTATTAATCCATGCGCAGAATTATATTTTATAAATATTTTTAAGGTTAAACTGAATTCAGTATCAGGCTTTAATCAGCATACTTCCATAGCCACTATTCTTCTAAAACAAATAGATAGTAATTTCCAGTAAGCATCATAAAAATGTTATCATACGCTCAGTATATTTTGCAATAATATAAGGCTTAGTAATGCTTAACAGAAAAACAGCTGGCAAGAAAGAAAAGTAAGTATTTAAAACATGTTCCATTCCATGTTGAGCTCTTGAGTTTTATGACATTACCTTAATGTATGAAAAAATATCCATTCTGATTATTGCATTTCCAGCAGTTTTTTTTAAAAAAGAAATTATTTTTTTGAGTAAGAATTATCTATTTTCGTAATCAACCAATTCTCCATTCTGCATAAACATATTTTCTCCAAGTGAATTACCTGTACTTTCATTTGATTAGGATTTCTTCTTGCTTCTACGTTTTGGAAACTATTTCTAAATTCAAGGCTATGGCAACATTTGAATTTGTAAAGTATTCTTTACTTTCCCATCCAAGACTCTCATAAAATAGGAGTTAACAGTTCTGTATTGAGTTGTCAATTAAAACTACAAGAAACTACCTCATAATTGCTTTTCTGTTCTCAGAAAACCAAATACTAGATTTGTCTTTCAATGCTATACCACAAAGTGTCCATTCCAGTTTCAATAAAGATTGTCTATAATGTGAGTAGCAATTTTTATCAGGGTTGGAGAACCTTCTAGTGGCCAGGAGCAGCTGCATATAACATTTTGCTGGCAGCTTATAAAGTAAGCAGGACCATATCAAAAACGTGTACAGGATTGCATCTGGGGTTTGTGACAGATCTGATCTTTTTTCAGTGCAAGCATGAGTAACTTACAGCACAAGGCTTGCATGTAGCACCTGAAAATCTTTTAGGGAAGCCCGGAAATGGTCCCAATTGGGTCACTGAATTACAATAATACATTTGCCAAACAACTGTAGCAATAATTCCTATAATTCTGAATCTAGAAACAAATAATAATGTATAACATAAAATAAGCTTGGAATAATTAAACACAGAAACATTCCTACACCATCTAAAAACATTCGGGGGAAAGGAAAATTTCTGCTCATGTTTATGACCAACTCTCCCCTCTTTGTTATACCTGCCGTTGCCCCAGTTTAAAAAAAAAATAAGTGCATCTCTTTGCCACTAAAAGATTGGTTCCTCTGCTTTAAAGTGTCCAGATGGCTTGCTTGTATGACTTCACTAATAGTCTTGTCAGATTTTATTTTATTTAGTGTACGGCATCTACAGAGATCATGCAATCACTGTTATACAACACATTATACATACAGACACAAATACATATTATACAAATATAATCTTGTCAGATTATTCAGCTACAAATTGCATATCTACCTTTATGACATCTTAACTAAAGTTACTTCCCAGATTCTGTCTTCAATGCTCCTTCACTGAAAACACTTTGATCATTAATAGGCATTAGGACACTAAACCAGTAATGTCCCAACCCTGACAACTTCCACATACGCCAGTTTCAACTGCTCAAATAGCACGGCCATTACTAAACTTAGAACCTGTGAAGTGTAGAAAAGATTGCCCTAAATTAATCATGATTTCAATATTACATCAGTTATAGCATTCTCTGGATGGTAGTGTATATCCTGAATTCATCATAAAGGAGTTCTAAAGGATGGAATGGAAAACGGGACTTTATAACCATCAAAGACTACTTATGTGTTTTGCTATATAAATATATATTTTTAAAACATATATTTTAAAAAAGGAAATGCATCTACATATTTCCAAGTCAAGTACTTACTCATGTGGGAAAAGGTAGATGAAGTCATGTAAGAAGGAGTCCTCCTGGACAAATTCATCTCAGATAAAGCAGCATAATGAGGATGTAATGAAACAAAGTGTGACATAGATGGATAGAGCTGGTGTGGAGAATGAGGCAACTGTTGGGAGGGCCAAGAAAAAGCCTGTATAAAGGATCCTGGTGGGCTGGTCACAACAGGTAAATGTGAAATGGGCACTGCTTCTAAATAGGAGAAAAAAGATTGATCTTTTCTCTTTGGCTGTGTCCTAGGGGAGCATAGAGGAATTTGTGTAACTAAACAATCTTCATGTCGGCCATTCAGACCTGATAGAGGTACATTTGCTGAGGCATCTTGGACCACTTCACCTGTAGGCCCCTGGAGTCTGCCATTCTGGGCAGCAATTACAGGAAGGACTACTGGAATATGGGGCTGCAGGATCAGCCCCTTCTGTATAGGGGATGTAAAGGTCACAGGAGAAGCAGCTTGAGGAGAATATGACAGGGAAGAACATCTTATGGACTGATGAGGGGAAGCAGAGGCAAGAGGTGGAGATAAAGAGATTTCCTTGGTGCTTCGTGCAACAGTTCTGTAACCTGGCCAAGTTGGTGGAAAGGAAGGGCCAGGAGATGGTGGGAACTCAGAGGGAGAATATTGGTGGCAACGCAGAGGGGATTCCTGGACCCTATGAGCAGATCTGAAAGAGGCCTTGCTAGCAGATTCAGGGAGAGCAGATGGTGATGAGATTGCTTTGGCATAAGGAGGAGGAGGAGGAGGAACAACTGCACCAGTGGAAGTAGAAGCATTGTAGCTACTGTAGTCAGGAGGAGGAGACTGGCAGTGAAAAGGGGAAGAAGACACTTTAATCTGAAGGGTGGAGACTATAAAGAATAGAAAAAGGAAAAAGAATAATATGGGTTGGTACTGAGGAATGACAGATAGCATCATGGTTAGAAGACAGGGGGGAAAGGGAATGAAACAAAAAATAAATCAAAATGAACCCAATGCTTAATAGTTAAAAAAGATTAGTGAAGATACAGGTTTCAATGGTTATTCAGAGGAAGCCAGAAAAGCTGCTAATTTGTTTAGTTTAGAGCTAACAGAAGGAATAGCACTGAACTGCCTTGTGATTAGCAAACTTTTAAATTTACAATAAATTTTTATTGAAGACCCATTTTCAAGACCCTACTCATCTTATACTCTTATTTGCCAAACTTGTTTTTATTTATTGTATTTATATCCCTCTTCTTTATATTGTGCTTCCTTCCTTATATTGCACTTGTATCCCTCTTCATTCAATTTACAGGGTGATCCATATGATCTTTTTCCAATATTAATTACATCTACATCTGTTTTGCAATAGTATTGCTAAAGTACCTGATGAAATTGATTGGGCCAAAGTGATAATCAATTTATGTACGGTATCATATTCTTCTTCGCTCCAGCTCCAAAAATTCCCTGCTGCTATTTATCAGCTGGAAATTGGCTGGAAATTCTGGCTGCTGTTTCCAACATATCTGATACCTTATGGGGAAGACTAACCTGGGGTGCCCCTAAGTTCTCAGTAATGGAATTTTATCCCCCTATTGGATTATTTCTTATCTACAAATGATATCCCTTCTGTTCAGAGAAACAGTAATTCACAATTATGATCAGACATACTACAAATCATGTTGCATCTAGTTAAAGTTCTTTTGCATATTGTTCAGTTTTTGGGCTACTATATCGATGTAGTTGCCACATCTATACAGTTATGTCCTATATACTTCAATAACAAATCTATTGCGGAAACCAAGTAAGTGAGCTATAATGTATAGCTGACTAATCTCAGTCAGCTCCCAAGTTGAAGGGGCATCTCTATAGAGAGTGAATGCACTTCCATTCTTCCCATAAGATCTCCCAAATTATATATTTATGGAAGCATGGACAATGTGGGAAGCAGCAGACTGGTACAGTCATAGAAAAACTAAATTACAATTTAGAATAACCTGTTGTTTTGTGAGAACAAAACAAAAGAACAATCAGAATAATACTATATAAAATTAAGAATATTTTCAGACATACAAAATTAAGAATCTTGGGAGTAGAAAATGAACCCTCTCTTGTTATTTGTGCCATGTTTTTATGCTAATAAAGATATGCTAGAATGTGGGAATGTAATCATTATGAGCTTTTTATTTTCACTGGGGGTAATTTCAAGCAAAATTTATTAAATTGCTATCAGTAAAAACACCCTAAAGAAATTTAGAAAGAATAATAAAAAAACACTACATACTGCATTGCATTTCAATGCAAAAACATCTCTGTATGCATTATGAATAAACTTTAGTAACTGAAACCACAGAATAATTATAGCAACAGACGAGAAGCCAAACTTTTTCAATAAAAGCACAAGGAACAGCCAGAAGTTAATAGGGAAAAATCAGGGGAAAAAAGTAGTCTTGCTTGACTTCCAAAAAGCATGATACATACCTGTGGTAGAGGTTCTTCTTTCCAGAGGTTCTTGGCGTTGCTGCTGTTGCTGCTCCATTGCTTGCCTACAATAAAGGATTTTGAAAGAAATTCATCTTTAGTTCTCTGAAAGCATTTGAGAATCCACTTAACACAAGGTCCAATTGGGTATTTTAACAAAAAATATCTCTGTGTATAACTGGTAGTCACTGGACAACAAAGAACATTTGATTTCTATTCAATGATCCAGCCCAAAGGAAGCCAGATTTCTGAAAAAATGTTACTTATCAGGAAGAAGGAAGCAAGATTCCTCTTTTCATGGTTTGTTTAGTATTCTTCTAAATCAAATCTCTAATTTGTATCTGTCCTGGCAAACCAGAATTTTTTATTCTATTTTTATTTTATTAAAAAAAGTTAAAATACAAAATACAAACACAAAGCTTCATTTTTTTCTTTCAAAAGAAAAAAAAGCTCCCCAAAACCTACAAAACAAACAAGACGTTAAAAAAACTGCTTTACAAAAATTAACACATACACACATATTATCCTCCCTAGCTGAATACTGATTAATACATTACAACAATATTAACCTAATATTATTATTAGGCAAGCCAGGTTTATAAGCCAAGAGCAGTGATTTATGATCTTGGCTTGCTAAAAGAAAAGCATCCCTGGAGTCCACTTCTGATGGAAAAAGTTTTAGTGGTATTTTTAGCTCAGGCTTTTTTCCCAATCATAAGAACAGCCAAGTAGGGGTGATCAAGCAGCACGTACCAGCATACCTGCTTGTTCATGATAAACAAGAAATCCTAATTATGCTTGCCCACTGGAATGTTAGTAGCTGTTTAATGTATATTCAGTAGTACATGAAGTTATGGTTCATCAAGAAGCATTACCCATGTATGGAATGGAAAACTTTGTCTTAGTGAAGATATGTATTATAGAATCTATGTTTTTAGCCATAGCCTGGCTAAGAGATCTTCTAGTAATTGCCCATGACTTCAACACCAATTTCACAAGATGATGGTGATGGTGATGATGATGATGATGATGATAATAATAATAATAATAATAATAATAATAATAATAATAATAATAATACCATTTCAGATAAAGGGCTGTCCAGTCTTTTCTTAAAAACTCAATGTTGGAGCATTCACAGCTTCTGGAGACAGGTTGTTCCACTGATTAATTGTTCTAACTATTAGGAATTTTTTCCTTAGTTCTAGGTTGCTTCTGTCTTTGGTTAGTTTCCATCTGTTGCTTCTTGTCCTGCCTTTGGGTACTTTGGAGAATAGCTTGACTCCCCCTTCTTGGTGGGAACCCCTGAGATATTGAAACACTGCTATCATGTCTTCCCTCATCCTTTTTTCATTAAACCAGACATACCCAATTCCAGCAACCGTTCCTTACATGTTTTTAGCCTCCAGTCCCCTAATCATCTTTGTTGCTCTTCTCTGTACTCTTTCTAGAGTCTCAACACCTTTTTTACATCCTGGTGACCAAAACTGGATGCAGTATTCCAAGTGTGGCCTTACCAAGGCATTGTAAAGAAGTATTAACACTTCACATGATCTTGATTCTGTCCCTCTATTGCAGGAAGTACTAGGTAATGTAATGTTGGAACTTTATAATGAACTTCTTTCTGAAGCTAAGATACCAGATTCGTGGTCCAAAGCTCTTATTACTCTCATACCAAAGGAAGAAACGGAAACACAAAAAATAAAGAACTACAGGCCGATTTCCCTACTGAATGTGGACTACAAAATATTTGCATCAATAATGGCGGAAAGACTTAAAAAGTTTTTAAATGAATTTATACAATCGGATCAAAATGGCTTCTTACCCAAAAGACAAACTAGAGACAATATGCGAATTATATTGAACACACTAGAATATTATGAAACACATCCCGGGAAACAGATGGCATTGGTGTTCCTGGACGCTCAGAAGGCATTCGACAATGTGAACTGGCAATTCATGATAAGCCAATTACAGACTATGGATTGTGGGGAGAAATTTATAAACGTAATCAGAACTATTTATAATAACCAATCAGCCAAAGTAATGATAAATGGAGATATGACTGAGAAGATCAACATTATGAAGGGAACAAGACAGGGCTGTCCCCTATCTCCACTGTTGTTTGTTCTGACATTAGAAGTATTAAATAGACATATAAGACAGAATAATGACATAAAAGGAATGAAAATTAAGAGGGAAGAATATAAGCTACAAGCATTCACAGACGATTTAGTATTTATTTTGGAGGAACCATTAGAGACAGGACCTGTATTAATAGAACAAATAGAAAAATATGGTGAGATAGCTGGGTTGAAAATTAATAAAGATAAAACCAAAATGTTAGTGAAAAATATTACTGAAAAACAAAAAAAAGAACTGGTGGGAAAATTAGATATACAGATTGTAAAGAAGGTAAAATATTTAGGGATCCACCTGACAGCAAGATGCACAACAATTAAAGAGGATAATTATCATAAATTGAAAAGACAAATTGAAGTAGATTTGGATAAATGGAAAAATGTAGAACTATCATTAATGGGAAGGATTGTGATAATCAAAATGAATATATTACCACGATTATTGTTTTTGTTTTCAACAATACCAATAAGATTAGAAAAGAAATATTTTGAAGGGCTTAATAAAATAATCTTGAAATATATTTGGCAAGGAAAAAAGGCAAGAATTAATCTAAAAATGTTACAAGATACAAGATTGAGAGGTGGGTTTGGTCTACCTAATTGGGAATTGTACTATCAGGCTGCAGCATTATCATGGATGAGAGAATGGATCTTATTGAGGAATACAAGATTATTGACATTAGAGGGACATGATTTACAGTTGGGATGGCATGCTTTCATATGGTATGGAAAAAACAGAATACATAACTATTTCCAGAGACACTATATAAGGAATTCTTTATTTGTGGTCTGGGAGAAAGTAAAGAGAAATCATTATTTGAAGATTCCAAATTGGCTCTCAACTATGGAGGTGCTAATATAACCCCAATATGTTTAACATGGGAAACATTATAAGATATAAAGACTTATTAACAGATATGGGGGAGTTGAAAACCAAACAACAATTAGAGGAACAAGGAATAAAGATGGATTGGAACATGAGAACGCAAATACAATCTAGATATGAAAAAGATGTTAAAATAGATGGTGTTAATTTGGGGACAACAGAGTTAGATGAAATACTCACAGGAACGGAAGAAAAATGGATTAAAAAATGTACAGTTATCTACTACATATGGAGTTAGAGAAAGAACAAGTGAAAGAGACAATGATAAAATGGACAAGGAATTCTGGATACACAATTGAATTAGATAGATGGCAGCAACTATGGGAAAGAAACTATAAATTGACAATGGTGACTGCGTATAAAGAAAATATGTACAAAATGTTTTACAGATGGCACATGTCTCCTGAAATATTAGCTAAAATGTTTAAGGACAGGTCCATGAAATGTTGGAAATGTCATCAGATACCAGGTTCCTTCTACCATATGTGGTGGATGTGTGTAGAAGCTAAAACTTATTGGAATATAATTAGAACATGGATAGAAAAGATGACACAACAACGTATAGAACTAAGACCAGAAATATTCCTGTTGGGTATTCTACCAGAGAAATGCAATAAAGAAAAAACATATTTAATTATTCCTGTAATTACGGCAGCCAGGATTGTGTTTGCACAAAATTGGAAAGCACTGAAAGCCCCCCCAGAGGGAGAGATGATTGGGAAAATACTGGAATGTGCAGAAATGAATAGACTAACAATGACAATTAAAGATAAGACAGAGTCAGACTACTATGAAATCTGGGGAACTTTTTATGATTGGCTGAAAAGAGAATACGGTTAAAAGATAGTTAACATCAATTTAGATGGAAGAAGAAGGAGCAGATAAGGAGGGAGACCCAGGCGACACAGTATTGAATAACTGGAGGTTGTATAAATGTTTATAGAAGTATATACTGAGAAGGTTAGATAAATAGAAGTATTAATCTTATTGTATATAATACAGATAGGGAAATTTGGAGAGAGGAGTTGCTCAGACATTACCCCTGAATTGTATCTGAAGAGGGAGGAGAGGGAAGAAAGGAGAGGAGAGAGAAAAGAGTAAAGGAGGGGAGAAGGAAGTAGGAAGGTTGGAGGAGACGAGGAGAAGTGGGGAGAAAGGGGAGGAGAGTGGTGAAGGAGAGGAGAGGAAGAAGAGGGAAGTAGGGAAGAGAAGAAAGGGAGAAAGAAGGTAGAAAAGAAGGAGTGTGGATATGGTGAAAGGGGAAATGGGCGAGCAACACCAAAAGTCATGTGTATGTATTTATTTCATTTTATTAAAAGTATCTTATATATGAATGTAAAAAGAATGTATGTTAACATCTGATAAATATTACGGTATATGTATGGGGGAGGGTTTGGAAAAATAAAAAATTATTTAAAAAAAAAGAAAAAAAAGAAGTATTAACACTTCACGTGATCTTGATTCTGTCCCTCTATTAATGCAGCCTAGCACTGAGTTGGCTTTTTTGGCAGCTGCAGCACACTGCTGGCTCATATCTAAGTGATGGTCCACTAGGACTCTGAGATCCCTCTCACACATCACCCGGGCTATGAAATAATAATTATATTTGTGCAAGGACTGTTTTAGCCAGTGGAAGACAAAGTATCATCTCTGCCCAGCAAAAGTAACTTCAGAAAGTGTGTGTGTGTGTGTGTACGTTTGCACTATGTGTATGTTCACACCAGATGGAATTGTTCTTTTGCTTTGTGCCAATCGCCTGGATCCTATTGTAGTGGTGTGCTGGCATGGTTAAGTGGATAGGAAGGAATGGAAGTCTGCCACCACGCCAGTTGGGAAACTGTTGAATATTCTTTATACACTTGGTTATATTTCACACTCCCTCCCCACACCTTCCGGAATTCCTTCTCCCCCCCAAATCCTAGAAAAACATCCACAAATAGAAATGCCCCCCCAAAAAACCCCAACCCACAAGTGTAACAGATGAGAATCAGCAGCAATTTATTTTTATTTTGTTTATGAAGGAGAGAGGATTATTATT